CCCCTCTGATGGGTGCACAGTGGGGCTCAAACTCTCAGCAGCATCCGCTCCCGTCAGCCTCAGGGCCGTGGCCACTGCCCCTCGGAGGAAGCTGCCCCGCCCGCCGGGGGCAGGGCACTGCGCGGGCACCTCGCGCGCCCAGAGGGACGGAAACGCCGGCCACACTCCGCCAGGTGCGCGGACCCCGGTGAGGGTTCCGGACGGTGCCCGACGGACTGGACTGCAGGGCCCGACGTGCCGCGCTGGGCAGGAGGAAGCAGCGGCACAGTCAGGACAGAGAAAAGGCTCCGGGAAGTTGAACTCCAGGGGCTCCCGAGACAACGGCTGAAAAGTGTCCGCGACCCCGCGTAAGGGATGAAGGAGCCGACCGTGAACACGAGCAAAGTAAGCAATAAGGAGCCGTGTTTGAAAACCCAGAGAAAACACTCTTTTAGGCAGAAAATAGACGTGGATAAAATATGTGAAGAAAGAGAAAATCGACAGGACCGACGCCACGGGACAGTCTGCGGCTCCGTCCGGTGTCCGGCTCACCCCGCCAGGCTTGGGAGCTGTCACTGAGGACAATGAGAAGCCGCTGTCCCCGCCGTCCCCGCCGGCTTGCTGACCTAGTTTGAGGACCGGGGCTCTGGGGGCTGAGACGCGGAGCCAGGCTGCGTCCCGGGCTGGCCCAGCGTCGGCAGGCGGCCGCCGTCCGGGCGGAGGCAGCACGTTCCCTGCCTGTCCCCCGGCAGCAGGCCCCTCGGGGCGGCTCTGGCCGACTCGGTTCCAGTGGCTGCAGAAAGCCCCTGTCAGCCAGCCCCAGGCCAGCTCCTCCGCAGTCACCCTGGTCACTGTCCCGGAGCGCAGGTGGCCCCGCCTCCTTTCCTGCGAGTCCCAGGACCTCCGACCGGACACGAGGAACGGCTGTCCTGGGCCTCCTGGGGCCTCCTGCGGCCTCCGAGCACAGCTTTCCGTTTCTACCAAGTTTCAAGAACGTTCCATAGGAAAAACCAGGTCGAATCCGGGGTCCAGGGAAGTGACCAGGGCCACGTGGGCCGAGGGAGGCGCCGGTCCGAGCGGGCGCGGCGTCCAGCTGGGAGCACGAGCTGCCCCTCTGGTGCCCCGTTGTGTGCCGGCGTCCGGCACAGGGAAGTCGGGTGCTGCACACATGCTGTCTCGGGACCTGAAGTTAGTTGTCGAGGAGGGTGGAGCCGACCGCTAACAGCTCTTGGGGAGAAGGACCCGCGCGTCGGGCCACCGCCAGCCATCGGGAAGGAGGGCGAGGCTGTGAGTGGTTCTCACGTCAGGGGGTCAGGACTGTGGCCTTCTGGGAGGGGGAGCCCGAGACCGTTCTCAACCACGATGTGGACCAGAGGTCTGGGGTCGATTCCTCCGACTCGGGGGTTGGGGTTGGCAGAGTGACATGGTCTGAGGTGTGGTCTGCTCACTCTGAGAGGTCTGGTCGGGGACGGGAGTCCTATCGTGTCACAGTCCAGCTATCCCTGCGCATGTGGGAGCGCTCGGCCTGACAGACACCTGCAGAACCTGTGCCATGTCCAGGGGCACATCAGTCACCCCAGGAAGTTAGTCTGGTGGGAAAGACAGAGGAACTTGTAAAGAGGTTCTGTAAGAGAACACACAAGCCACACACACACACACACACAGATGCACAGACACACACGCATGCACACACGCACAGACACACACACGCACGCACATACACAAACACATGGACACACGCATAGACACACATACACACACACGGACACACACACAGACATACACACACGCACACACATACACAAACACATGGACACACACGCATAGACACACATATACACACACGCACACACACAAGTATGAGCACTGTCCTTCTGGATGGCAGAGGTGCTGGTGGGTTTCGGTATCTGGTGCTTCTCCACTTCTCATTCCCCACGAGCGGACTTTCCTTTCAGAAGCAGGTAAAAACCTTTAGAATGCGCTCTGGTGTCCTGGCCCCGGGTGGCGTGGCCCCCGGGTGGCGTGGCCCCGGGTGGCGTGGCCCCGGGTGGCGTGGCCCCGGGGCACCGCACAGCAGCGCCGTGGTCTGTGAAGGGACATGCAGGCCCCGGGGGTGCCGTGGAGCAGGGGTGGGAGGAGCCAGGGATCTGGTTGGGCAGAGGCCAGCGGCCCCTCCCTGCCCCTCCGCGGTCTGGGGAGAAGCCGCCATGAGCAGGAGCCACTTGTTGGTCACCCTCAACGTCCACCTTAGGTGTTCGTGTCACATCGATAGGCTGCCTGAGTCGGGGCCTAGACAGGGCAGAGTGGGGGAGTCACCCCAACTCTGCGGCAGTGAAAGTGGCCACGGGCTGTGAGCCACGGGAGGGAGCTGTCAGGTGACAGCCTGGGACCTGAGGGCTGGACCCTGTGGATGTGCCTGTGTGTCCAGGGCAGCGACGGTCCCAACAGACAGGACTCTTCAGACATCAGGCAGCGGGCACTGGGCCCTACCTGCTCTGTCCTGTGGTGGTGACCAGTGTCTAAATGGGACCTCGCGCTGCCTGGCTTCCGCAGACGCCACAGGGGAAGGTGTGCCTCCTCGGGGTCCTGGGCCGGTTCTCCCTCTGCTGCCCCCGGGGACGTCCGGCACGTCTCCTCCTGACGGCTGGACGACGCGACCCCCCACTGCAAACCAGGCATCTTCTCCGGAGAGCCTGAACCCAAGCATCCCGCCTGTGTTCCTGAGGGGTGTCCCGGTGCAGGAAGGCGGGGGGCTGCTACCCCGGGGACCAGCGTGAGCACCCAGGGCCCTCGGCAGTGTGGCAGGAGGCGTCAGCGGACCGAGGCCCTTTCTGGAGCCGAGGGCAGCCTCCACTCGGGAGCCCTTCCCCTGCGAGTGTTCTCAGCTGGGAACGGTCCCCGGAGCCTGGCCTGTGGGCCGATTCCCGAGCCCAGGCCCTCTGCAGCCCGCCAGGCCGCCAGCCCTCCCGGCCGCCCTCCCACACCACACTGCTGCCAACGTCAAAACCCTGGAGCAAGCTTGGGCAGTTTTTCATAGTTTTTCAAATTCGAATTCGTTACCATACAAATGAGCCCTCTGCTGTCTGGCGGCCAGCGACGCCCTGCCAAGCAGCTGACCGGCGGCAGAGCGGCCCTGCCAAGTGGCTCCCGCCTCCCTCCCGGAGCCAAACCCTCGTTTAACAGACAATTACAGACTCTCCGAACCCCAGACAGCGGATAATTACCAGCAGGGGTGTTAGGATGAAGCCAACCTAAATGAGTTCAGTTAAACAGGGCCATCCTGAGGGTGGCGCTTTTTATTTCCAACAAGGGCCGCGACCCGAACCCCGAGCCCCGAGCCCCGGTTAGCACCCCCCGCAGCTGCCCGCTCAACTCCTGACCTGCTGCACACCCACGACCACGGGGACACGCTCGTGACTGCAAACTTCTGTCCTGAGGACGTTAAATCCATTATTTCCTTAAGATCATATGGCAGATCTATAATTAATTAAACCCACCACGATATTACGGCAAAATAATTCCGCTTTTCTAAAAAAGGTAAATGCAATTTGCAGATCTGGTATTTGGATGAAGGCTTTGCCCAAAATCAATTCCTTTAGTTCCCAGAGAATAGACGCAAGCGGCAATCTCGTTTTAATTATATCTCTTTATTGCTAACAAAGGGATGATTTATGCAATTAAATTAACTGGCTAGAAAATTATTCTCAGCTGGGCTGTCCTGACTCTCGGCTCTCCGAGTGCGGCTCTCACACTGCGTGGAGATTAATTTCTCTGATGCGCAGACAATGCCGCCTGTGTCCCGTCCCACTTCATGCAGAAGGCCCCTTTCTTCCGGTGACTGACATGAATAATATTTGTAGAACTGCTTGGCTCTGACTAGTTTTTTTTGTTAAAAAGATGAAAAAGATCTTTTCTCTCCAGTCTCATTATCCCTGAGCAGGGAGGTCTGCGGGTCTCTCCTCCGGGAGCTGAGCAGCAGGGGACACGGCAAGGCGTCCAGGTGGCCCGCGGGACATGGGCCTCGGCAGCCAGAGGGTCAACGAGCACGTGCCTTGGGGACCACCCTTCCTCGCCGCTTCCCCTGTCCCTTCACCTCCCCCAGTACTACGCGTGCCCAGGTGAAGCTGGCACTGAAACACCACCAGCTGGTCAGCTGTGCCCTCCATGCGCGGGCACTGCTTGAGGGCCTGGGGGGACGGACTTCAAAGACACCTGTTCTTACGGAGCTGAGGACTCTGGAGGGCCACGTTGGTGGAAATTCTCGTGAAAGACCATTTCTGCAGGGGTGGGGGACAGGATGACATCATCTGGGGACCGACCGCATGGGGTGGGGCCTACATTGAACCATTAGATTGTTTCAGGCATCCTACAATCTGTTAGTCCTTCAGGACGGAACGAGGGGAGGAGCTACAACACCCAGGTGGTGCGAACCAAGCCAGAGGGGACGAGGCTGCTGCTTCTTTTAAAGCCACAGACACATGGCAGCAGCTTCCCCTTCACTCAGCCTCACCTGCGAGGGCAGGAGGCCAGCATGCTCGGGGCTGGGCCGGGGGGACAGTCTCCCTGTGGCGATGGTGGCTGTCCCAGCACAGAGCCCTGCCGTGGCGCACAGCAGCCGGGCACAGTGCAGAAGCAATGCCGCCGGCTGACAGAGGCAGGTGGGGCTGGTCGGTCCTGGGGTCCACTGCCGGCCCCACCGTCTGAGGGGGAGCCTTCCCATCACAAGTCAAATGTCTAAACCAGAAAGTATCATCGGACCCCACGAGTCCAAGGCTGTCAGTCACAAGTGACAAGTCTGCCTTCCAGGACCTCGAGATCTAGCACATGCCGTTTGGGGATTAATGGATATAGTGGACAAAAACTCACAACTCAGCAGGACGGGGCTGCAGGGAACGCTTTCAGAGAGCCCCGTGGGGAGGAGACGTGAAGACCACCCACAGTGGACCTTTGTGGGCAGGATGGCAAAAAACAGTTTCCAGTGTTAAACTGCTTGAGAAGACATATCCAAAGATTTTGCGACAAGAAGATCTTTTTTTATTGCTACAAGCAAGTGATCCAGTTTCCCAGCACCACTTTCTGGACTGCCTTGACCCCACTGTGTGTTCTCCCCCTGGCTGGAGACGCCCCACAAGCAAGGACTTATTCCTGTGATCGGTTTCATGCCACACTGTTTTGACTATTGCAGCTTTGTAATGTAGTTTGGTACCACGGAGCTGCTACCTCCCACTTTGTTCTTAAAATTTCTTTGGGTATTTGGGGTCCTCTGTGGCTCCATACACTTGAGAACAGCTGTTCAGAAAATGCCACTGGTGTTTTAATGGGCATCTTGCTCAGCTCTTCTTCAACATCTTAGTTTTCAGAGTACAAGTCTTTCACCTCTTTGGTTCAATTCATTCCTAGGAATTTTATGCTTTTTGATACAACTGTTAATGGGATTTTCTTAACATCTCCTGATTGTTCGTTATGGGTGCAGAGAAACACAGCCGACCTCTGTGCCCTGCCGAGAGGAAGGGGCGGGACCCAGCCATGGCCAGGTGCGCAGCTCTATGACAAGTTAGCAGAAGTCCACATTGAATGCATTACCCTACAAATAACAGCCCATGAGGATACAAAAATGACTGAGCCAAACTTTAGTACTTCTGATGCTTCCATTAACTCTGACTTTAGGTACGGAGCACAGTAAGCTGCTCACGCTGCTCAGACTCGCCAGGGGTCGGTCAGGTGGGCAGGGCGGACATCCTCCGCTTCAGCTCGGCGGCCTTGCCCTGCAGCTCGGCTCGGCCCTCCTCCGCCGCCCTCCCGACGCCTTCCTGGTACTTCTCCAGGGCCCCCTTCAGGCTCAGAAATATTTCCTGAGTGGAAAACAAGAGAGATGAGTCCATGCAACAACCCGACCTAAAAACGAGATACAACAATTCCCAGGCTGAGTCCCACGTATCAACAACTATCCTGCAGCCCATGTCACACGCGTGTCTACTCTTAACTCCGCTCTGCAGGCCAGACAGACCACCAGGGCGTCTGCTCCCTGGAAACCACCAGCTCGGGCCTGTTGCAGGGCCTGGATTCCAAGACACTAAGAACTTACTTTATGGTCAAGGACACGTTTACTTCGACGCTCCCCATGCAAGTGCCAGGCACACACCTGGGCGTCCCTGAGGGCCAGGCAGACAGACCAACTGTGAGTCTCAGGCTCAGACACACCAGTGCCTGGGGGAGTCATCCTGATCACCCGGTCAGGCAGCCCTTCCAGCCAGGATGGGGTCACAGCCCGACCGCGTGCGGAGGTGGAAGCAGAATGGACTCCAGACCACACACCGTCCGTCTCACCCTCGCCCAGGGCCACTTTGATCTTTTATTGTTTTTCTTAAAACTCTCAAACCTTGACGCAAGAAAAAGTGGGATTCTAAAAGGTCATAGGAGGGTCAACCTCTCGAGAACTGATGAACTCTTCGGAATGAGGGTGATGGAACTTACGTTCGACCTCGTGAAGCCGACCCCCACGGACACTCACCTGGGACTTGCGTCTCTCCCGCTCCGTGGTGTCCTTCAGCTGCTGGATGGCAAACCTAACCTTCTGGATTTCCTGGTTAATTGTGGTTATTCGCTCGTAGACAGCACCTCTTTTTTCTTGAACTTTATTGCAATCTCTAAAGAAAATAGAAACGGCCAAGTTACAGTTCTTCTTCGACATCTAAAAGGCAAACATTTACCTGACTTCGAGTCTAAAGTGACCACGTGTACAGGACACACCTCAGCCTCTCAAGGGCCACAGCGGATGGGTTGAGACCCCAGTGCAGCTGCGCCTGTGACAGGCGCCCACGAGCCACCTGGGTCTGAGGTCACAGCCCTGCCGGGTGGGACGTGAGCCAGGGCTCTGCCACGATCCCTGACGCACCTGTGAGAGGCTCAGCAGTGACATCTCAGACGTACCTGGACCTCAACTATTCTAAAAACACGTTCTGATGGATGGGAGACCCCACCAGGGAAAGCCCAGCCCACGGCCGATGCTAGAAATGCGAACTTAGTGCGGCCCTCCTCTGAACGGAGCCACAGCACTGCCCGGCCACGGGGACAGCTGGCTGACGTGGGAGCCCAGCCCTGAGAATGACCCAGTTACAGACGGGTGACCCGGAGAAGCCACGGCCAGCAGCATCTCTAAGCCTGACACAGCATCACAAGACCCAAGGTGGCCCGTCTGCTCGGCCCGTCTGCTCGGCCACCTCAAGGGGGACCGCCCCTCTGGACCCAGCCGCCCGCCCGCCCGCCCCAGCTCCGCACTCGATCACCGCGCGCTTGTGCTGCTCGACGCCCTCGTGCTTCTGGTTGATGCGGAACTGCACCGTGGCGAGCTTCTCCTTCTTCGCGTTCAGCAGCCTCCGCATGGAGTTCTCCTCGGCCTTCAGCTTCTTCAGCTCCGACTCTCCGCTCTCGATCTGGTCCTCCAGGCGCAGGTTCTGCCACGACAAGGACCGTCAGTGAGCCCAAGCAGGTGCACAGACAGTGAACGGCTACTTCCTGGAAGAGCTGCAGGGAGACGGAAAGAGCTAGAGCTGCTCCCGCCCCGCCGAGGGTCTGCAGGCAGGACGGGGGACAGCAGGGGGCCGAGAAGAGCGGCACACCCAAGAGGCTTGACGGGAGCAGAGGTGGGTGTGGGACCAGCCAGAAGCAGGGACCTGCCCTAGTTCTTCAAACCCCCGAGGGCAGGAAAGGGGGTTTGTAGCGGGGAACAAACACCAACGTCAGCGACGTGCGTCATCACCCACTTCATCAGAGGTGCCGACAGGCCCCGCACAGGCCGCCACACCTGACCCAGCAGGGCCCTTGCTTTAGGTACAGCGACAAAGAGCAGAGCGAGTCCCGCGGGGACGGAGCCCACCTCCTTCAACACCCCGGCCAGCGTCTCCCTGTTCTGGGCCAGGTCCTGTATCTTCTTCTGGTACAACTGCACCTCCAGCTGGCAGGAGGGCAGGCCGTCCACCGAGTCGCGGTACACCTCGTACTTCTCCATCACTTCTTGCTGCGGAAGCGAAGGAGCCCAGTCTGAGCGCCCAGCACCACGCTGCGGGGCTGGCAGCCGGGGTCCGGCAGGAACAGGGCCGGGAGGCGGAGGCTGAGCACAGGCCCTCAGGCGTCCCCAGCTCAGGGAGCGTGGACAGAAAGCTGCCTCGTCCCACAGACCCACTCACTGCAGCACCTCCCGAGGTTATTCGTAGGGTCTGGAGAGACTCTGTCCACGAACACGCCAACTGCTGCAATGGCTCCCGGCTGACTGCGCCACCGAATGGATCTCAGCCCCTTTGACACTGACTGCTCCCGCCCTGGCCGGTGTGCTCAGCGGTTAGAGCATCGGACCCAGTCCTGGGTTCGGTTCCCACCAAGGGCACGCACCTCAGTTGCAGTTCGTCCCTGGCCCCTGCTGGGGTCACGTGGGTGGCAACCAGTCAATGTGTCTGTCTCGCATCGATGTTTCTCTCTCTTCCTCCCTCTCTCCCTCCCGCTCTATCTGAAGATAAATGCAAAAATGTCTTTGGGCAAGGATTAAAAAAAACCCAACTAATCGAGCTCATTTTAAAAAAAAGATTAATTCCTATTCTAACATCAGAAAGGAACACCGTGGCCACAACCCCCTAACAGCAGAGGCTCTTCCCCCCGGCCCCCTGTCAACCAGCGGGCTCGTGTCAGGGAGCTGATGTCCTCCCTGGGCGGGGCCCGCTGTCTCTCGCACGCCACGCGTCAGCACCGCTGTGCGGACAGGCCCCGCCCGCACGTGGCAGCATGTCCCAGGGCGCACTGCGTTCAAGTCCACGGCAGACCAAGATTATTCAAGTGTTCTCCCAAAACTTCTAAATTTGCTAAATTTTTCAATTAAATGTCTAGTCCAGTTAAAATGTATCCGGTAAATGGCGCAGGCACAGCCGACACCCTCTGCTGCTGGTGGGCCGCCAGCCAGGCCAGGAGAGCCCGCTCCTCCCTCGGACACCCGCCTCTCCGGCCGTTCGTGTCCTCGTGGCCCTGCTCCTGAGTGACGGCCTCTAACAGGGACGATCTGAACAACAACTCGAGATGAGCCAGAAGTGTCCTTCAAGTAACAGTTTACAACATTCACCTCATAAAAGCTGCTAAAGTGTCCGCCCACTCCCACTGTCCGACCGACCCCCTGCCCCGCAGTGACAGGCAGTCACGGGTGTGCTCGCAAGATCGAATCCAGCGCCTGGAACCCTCAGCCGCTGCCGGTTTCCCACCGTCCGAGGCCACGTCCCTCCGTGGGCATCATGCTTTGGTCCCGGGCACGCCGTGCTCCCACGACCGCAGAGCGTCTGTGCACTGCCCCTCGTCCCCCTCGGTGCTCCCCGTGTGCACCTTCCCTGGGACCCCGCTTACTGGGGGTCAGCTCACCTTCCCCTCCGCCCCCTCAGCCTGATTTCCACACGACCAGAGCAGACGCCCCTCATTACATTACTTCCAAGCACCCAAAACTATCTTCTGTTTCTCTTTGTGGTACTTTTTATTTTTAAATTTTTTTCTTTATTAATTTTGAGAGAGGGGGAGAGATAGAAACATCGCTGAGAGAACATCGACTGGCCGCCTCCTGCATGCCCCCCTGGGGATCAGGCCCACAGCCTGGGCATGTGCCCTGACTGGGAATCGAACCAGCCACCTCTTGCTGCAGGGCAGACGCTCAACCACGGAGCCGCACCAACTGGCTTTACTTCGTGGAGTCTACGCTCACAGCCAAACAGCAGGAGGCAGAGTCTCCTCTACTCCGGGCCCCACACGCCGACCCCACACTTTCTATAGATTTGTTGCTACAGAATTGGTTATAAACTGCTCAACGCCCTTCAATCACCTTGAGATAAAGCACCAAGTCCCCTGAAGGTCACCCAGAGCAAAGCCTCCAACGCGTCGCATGAACAGCTGTCGTGAAACACCACGTCTCCACCCTGAGCCCCACACGAGCACTGCCGGAGACGCACTGGAGGAGGGCAGGGGCCTGGAGCCCAGAAACTACCCTTCAGGGGAACACGAACTGCTGGGGAACAGACCCCTGAAAACGGACACTCACCCTGGAATTTTTAAGCTTCTGGACTGTGTCTTTCATTTTTTCTTTATAATTCTTTAACTTCTCTGGAGAATCCACAATCTTTGTTTTCAAACTCTCTTGTGCTTCTTTCAAAGAGACCACGGACAGTTTCAGCTCATTCTGTGGGGAGCACAGAACCGGTGCTGCTGGTGCGGTGGGGAGAACAGGTCCGGCCCGCTCGCTGAGCACGGCTCCCGGCCTCGAGGCCGAGCTCGTCGGTGGCCTCCAGACTGTCCCTCAGGCTGCCATCCAGTGTCACCCCCCAGGCCCCGGGCACCCTGCCAGCTGGTCACACCGCCCCGTGCTGGGACATGGTCGCCCTGCCTCCGGCACCACGGGGTCCGGAGTCCCCAGGAACCCTGCCCAGCACCAGGACAGACTGTACGGCCACACCGCCCTTCCGCACTTCAGGGTCTCCCCCGACAGGGCGGCGTGGGCGTGACCAGTAGCCTCGGTCCTCCCAGGACCAGGCAGGGCGGCAGCACCGAGGAGGTTGAGAGCTCCGGCAGCTCCGTTCAAGGGGAGCACGGGGACAGCGGGCTGTACCCGCCCAGTTACACACCCTCGGCACCCTCCCCGTGCTGCCGCGTGAAAAGGTGCTCACCAAACGCTTGGTTTTCTCCAAGATGTCCGCCTTCTTCTGGGCGTTTCTGTCCTGCAGCGACGTCTAAGGAAAGCACAGTTGGTCTGTAAGGACTCAAAGCAGATTCCGACACAGCGCCGGTGCCTTCTCGGGAAACCAAGGGACCCGACTGCCCACGAGCCCCACCCCCGCCCACGAGCCCCGCCCCCGTCCACGAGCCCCACCCTGGCCAGGGAACTGACAGCCCCCACTGAGCTGCTCCCGTCTGACAGCCTGGGGCCCAGACAGAACTCCTGCTGTGTCGTCCTGACGACAGGACGCCCAGGCACGTGACATGCTGAGCACCCACGTTCCCCAGAAACCCCAGAAACGCCGGGCCGGGAGCAGGGGAGGGTCTGCGCGTGTCCAGGGCCAATGCAGTCAGGGCCGCAGGACGACACACGGGAAACCCTGAGGAGTTCGTCTCCAGGACGGCGTCTAACTCTGGCGCCACAGCCCCGCGGCCTGGCGGAGGGTCTGTCCCTCAGGAGAGCCCACGCGGCGCAGCCTCCCCGTGGTCACTGCATGTGCCCCGCCCCTCCCCCAGCACACCCCCGGGCGTCAGGGCCCCCAGCACGCACCGTCTTCTGCCGGAAGTCCTGATTCAGCAGCTGCTGCAGCTCCTGGATCTCGTCGGAGAGCTGCTTGAACTCGGCCTGCTCCTCGGCTGGGACGGAGCTGAGCACAGAAGCCAAGGTTAGGGCACTGACCTTCCGGAAGCCTCTGCCCTCGAGGACTTCGGAGAGGAGCCCCGTGCCGTCCTGGCTCCTACTGACCACCTCGCAGAGGGCTCCCTCGGCTCCCACGTCAGGGCTCCGTGGGGACTGCCCGAGGAGACAGGCGGGTCCCCTCCCTGCCCGCAGCCGCCTGGCCCTGGCCCTCGTCTCCGAGTCACACCTCCCCGTCTCCTCCACAGGACGGCCCTCAGTCCCTGAAATGCGGCCCAGAGTGGCTCCTTCCTTTCCAGCCCCGCCGGCCAGCGAGGTGAGCACTGAGCATTCTCCTTGGCCACTGGCGTGCACCCCCGCGAACCCGCTCTCAACACACGCGCCGCATAGAAACCTGAGACACGCCAGGGCCGCACGTTTTCGGGCAAACTGCACATTAGGTTCTGAGCCCACTCATTTGAACCAGCAGATGCCCCTTCCCCAGCTACTTCAGGACACAGAACGTGTGCTCTTTTCAAACTTCGACCCTCAGGGCGAAGAGTCACAAACACGATAACCCTACATTACCCTGAGCCTCAAAACCCGAAACAGCTGGTGCAAGTGCACACCCGTTGGCTCATGCGCGGTCCGCAGCGTTTGGGCAGGAGAACACGAGTTAGCTCATGAGCGGTCAAAAACGTGTTCACCTCGGCCCACCTCCCGCCCTCGCCCGTCACAGTCTGCGGTGCCTTCACGTGAGGGACGTCACCGCTCGTGACCGGGAAGAACGCTCTGCTGCCCGCCCAGCCTGTCCCAGCGTGGCTGGTGCGCGGGGCCGCCAGCTCGCTGCCCTGCGGCAGACGCACTCGGACACCAGCAGGAGTAAAAGTCCCTCGGTTCCCAGTCAGAAAACGTAGGCCGAGGCGTCCCCGCTCGAGTGGCTCTTCCTGTCCCGGGCCCGACACCCGGCCCGCAGCAAGGGACACGCTGGCAGAAGGGCCTGGTCCGAGGAGTGTCCAGCCCTACAGAGCGAGGCTCCACTCTGCACACACCAGCTCATGTGCTGACAGGGAGAGAGGAGGAAGAGACGCGTCTGCCCCAAGGGTGAGAAAAGGGATGGTGAGCCCCAGACAGCAAAGCTGAGACCGGCCGCCCCGGCCCGGCCGCCCCGCTGACAGCAAAGGAGCTGAGACCGGACTCAATGGCCCGGCCGCCCCACTGACAGCAAAGGAGCTGAGACCGGACTCGATGGCCCGGCCGCCCCGCTGACAGCAAAGGAGCTGAGACCGGACTCGATGGCCCGGCCGCCCCGCTGACAGCAAAGGAGCTGAGACCGGCCGTGCTGGCCGTGCTGGCCGGGCTGCCCCGCCTGCCCCACTGACGGCCACTTGGCCCGCGAAGCCCGTGTTTTAGCTGTGGGTCTGCTACTTACTCCAGTTTCTCCAGCTTCATCAGCGCCTCCTGGTGGGCCGCATTGAGCTGCTGCAGCTTGTCCACAGAGGATTTCTACAAAGAGGTTTCTGAGGTCACCCTAGTGTTCTCCCAGCTGGCGCCAGGCTTCAGGGCTGCCAGCTCACCATGGGCACTCACCCCGCGGCTCCCCCGTCCCGCCAGCCCCCGCACCTGAGGAGGGGCCGGGCTCCTGTGCCCCGTCCTCGGCTCTGTGCTCACCTCAGTGTCACGAAGGACACCGTGACTGACAGTTCTGGGACTAAGTGCACAGGGGCCGTGAAGAGTCAGGACATGAGCACAGGACCCCAGTGCAGCTCGCTCCAGCACTGAGCACAGTGACATCCCCCCACCCCCTGGGTGACGGCAGGAAGCGTCACAGAGGCTCCATAGAAATGACAGAGGCTGTGCCTTAGAGATGAGACATCAGGCAGCCAAGTCACATTTGCGCACACAGACAGGCACAGGCGTGGGGCCTATGTGAGGACGTCTGTGCTGATCTGCGGCTCCATGTCCAGCTCTGGTGCTGTCCTGAGTGTGCCCAGAGCTGAGGATGGACAGGACGAATCACAGATGACCCACAGCCTCCCACGTCCTCCGAGCTGCTGGCGGGTGCACCGTCAGTGAGCTGCTGGGCAGCAGGTAGACACACACCCCTAGGCCGTCCCGTGGAGCAAACAGGAATCTCAAGCCTCGTGACTTAAAGGACACTGCTGAACACGGGGACCTACCGCGACCCTCCCCCCTCACTTCCTGACAAAGGAAGAGAAGCCCAGCCTCTCCCTAATGTCACAAACAGCAAAGAAAACCTTGCTCTGAGATGCTTTCAGTAACTAGAACCTGCACCGTCATGTAAAGACAATGCACTTGGCTGTACGGCAGTCACCTCGACCACCGTTTAGACGGACGATAGTTTGTAATGATGCTGCCGGGCTGCACTGAGTCTTACATGCTGCCAGAGATACTCCATGTACGTCTCACGACAGGCGTCCCGAAAGTGGATGAAGTTGATGATGCCACTCAAAAACCGACTGGTCCGCTTGGCTTCTGAAACAGAAAGCAAGGCCCTGACTGCCCCGGGACAGCGTGGCACGGAGCCGCCCACCCCACAGGGCAGCATAGCTGTGCCCCGTTTTAACTGCCCAAGAGCACACGTCTGCCCTAGCATACGGGCGAGAACTGTCTTTCACTGACACACGCACACACGCACACACGAGGAAACCTCTCCTCAGGCTGTGGGTACAGCTGAAGGGAGAGTCACAGCAGTGACACCTACATCAGAAAAGAAGATGCATCGCAAAGAGCCTCAGCTTCTACCTTAAAACTAGGGGGAGAAAGAGCAAAACCAAGTGAGCATGAAAAAGAATAACTATAAGTACAAAAAACAACATGGAAAATGAAATTAAAACTGAGGGGAAAAAAAATCAATGATCAACAAAATCTTAAAAAATGCGACTCAGTGGTCAGGGAGAAACGGAAGTGTGAGGGAAGAACTGCTCAGGTCCAGGTGAGCGAGGACATCCCTCGCGCTCTACAGTTAAAGTGGTACAGAGCCGTGAACGCGCTCGTGTGGACGCGCCTGTCGACTTACATGCAGCGAAGGCAAAGGGAAAGGGAACCAGCGAGCGTCCTCAGGAGCCCTGGATGGACAGGCAGCCAGCAGCCCAGGATTTATTTCACGTACATATATACACGTATATATACACACACTTAAGACTTCCACTCTGCACTTAAAATTGAACGTTCACGCTGTGTAAGTTGCACGTTAGTAAACAGAGCAGAGGAGAGCTGAGCAGGACAAGAGTGGCTATGTGGGTGGACCAAGCCAGGGCTCAGAAGTTGGGACACTTCCACCTTCTGCTACAATGTTGCACCGTTCCCGTCTTTGCTGAAACATTTGGTTCCTGGTAGAAGCACGTGCACATTCACACGGTTCACACACGGCAGGACTGAGCCCGCGATGCAGCACGGCTGCGTGTCACTTGACTCATGTTCTCACACACACAGAACGTCTCTCGAACGCAAGGCGCTGAGAACTGCTGAGCTTCCTGCGGCTCTGCGAGGGCAACATCAGCGCTGGGACGTAGGAGTCCCGGCCCGGGGCCCTCACTCACTCGGGTACAGGATGTCGGCCGTCTCGAAGTCATTCACGCGGCAGATGGGCAGGAACGAGTTCCTGGGGGCGTGGAGAAAGCACTGAGCGGTGCGCACACAGAGCCAGAGGGCAGGCACAGCGTGGTCCAGGATTCTGGACCCTAACCCTAACCCTAACCCCCACGGCAGAGAGCCCGTCAGAGGCCACGCGAGGGCGCGACCCCGCAGCCCCGAGATCGCCCTGCACAGTTCAGGGGTGTCGTGCTCAGGTGCAGCAAAAGACCCCAGTTCACAAGGCGCCCTCTGGGAGACACTGGGCTCTGAGAACACAACGGCCTCCAGCAGTTCGTGTTCACACCTGGGAACGGCCACGGGCAGTGTCCCGGGTGGAGGCGGTCAGCTACGCCTGCGGAAAGCCTGTGATTTTGAGTGTACATGGGATGGAGTGCGGAGGAAGGGGCAGAAATTCTTTCCAAAGAACCTCACATCACTGTGAAAGCTTAACGTGACGGGACAGGGTCAGACTGAGCAAACGCAACACTCCACTCACAGATGAATAAAGAGGTTGCTGACGGGTAAGAAGCCTTCCATCAGATGTGGATACATGACGTCCGAGTTCACTGGCATCTAAGTGGAAAATCAGACAACCCGCGTTACGCTTTCCTGATGGAGCAAGAAAAACCTTCCCCTTCGAGAAACCTCAACCAGAGTAAGATCAAATCACACCAGCTGCTCCCGGAAGACACGGCGAGCAGTCCAGACCCTGGCACAGACCAAGCGCTGTCGCCAGGACCACTGACCCTAGGTCCTCGGCAGTGTCCAAGGACGGTTCCGAACGCAGAAGGACACGCACTGGTCCCCGTCTCTGACCAGCGGCACAGACTGCGCTGGCCTCCACGCATGCTCTCAACCGCAGAACCCAGGACAGAGGCAAGGCCTCAGCGAGAAAGCCTGGGACTCGAACCACGTGCAGGGACGCTGGGACATGGGCACCTCGGATGACGCTCCCAGGAGAAACCTAACTTCCCCTAGGAACTCCTCACGTGCTAGAGGCTCAGCTGCCTGACTCCATCTCAGTGTGGACTCCTGCCCCAGCTCGGGGTCCGTCCTGAGAACCGCCAGCCTGAGATGTGAGCACCTGCCCACACCGGTGATCTGTGCCACGGTCTCACCGCGGCTTGTCTTGCACAGCTGTCAACATAAGCCACCGCCACGCCTGGTCCCGTCCGAGCGGCGTGCACACAGCTCTCTACAGGGTGGAGGGCGCCCTGTCCTGAGCCCGAGCGCGCGGCGACTCACCATGTAGAAGTGCTCCAGGCGTGTGCCGTACACAATCTGCAAGGCCCTCAGGTAGATGGTGTGCAGGACCTCGGGCTGCAGGAGGAAAGGGCCTGTTGGCACCGGCACCGCCCCCCTCACCGCAGAGCCCACACGCAAGACGAATGTCTCCCCTCCCCTCCAAAGAGCTCTAACTTTCCCCGATCTGAAAACACCTGATGTGCTCATCACTTGCTCGTAAGTAATGAAGGTCAATCAGATCGGTTATATGAGCTCCTAGACAGGACTCGAGCAACACCAGCCAAACCCAACCCAAGCAACCCACCCACACTAGGGAGGGGAGGGCCAGTCTTTCCAAACAGGTGGTAAAACCATTCTCTGGGGGGGGAGGGGTAAAAGGCACCCCCTGTGCAACCTCAGACGTTGGACTTAAGGGAACACTGTGAGCAGGAGTATAGACGTAATGGGGGGCAGGATTTTTCAAGCTTCCTCTTCCAGACGAGCGGTTCCCAGACGCTGGCCTGCAGGGCCCGTCCCACCCACACACAGGCCCATCCACCCCAGGAGCCTCCCTTTCCTGGGAGGGGGGAAGGGCACGGCGATCAGGAAGGTGAGCTCCACACCACCCCACCAGGGTCTCCTGTGCTCTCTCTTCCAGCCCAGCAAACTCCAGGCGGCTGGGGTTCTGTGTCACAGAAACTGGTCCGTTTGCATTCAATAACTACTGTACAAAAGAGCAATGTCTGGGCCCTGGCCAGCTTGGCTCAGCGGTTAGAACCTCGGCCCGTGGACCAGAGAGTCCCGGGTTCAGTTCCCGCTGGGGGCATGTACCTCAGTTGCAGTTTGTCCCCAGCCCTAGTTAGGGTCATGTGGGTGGTGACCACTCCGTGTGTCTCTCTCAGATCAGTGTTTCTCTCTCTCTCTTCTTCCCTCTCTCCCTCCCGCTCTATCTGAAGATGAATGCAAAAGTGTCCTTGGGTGAGGATAAAAAAAAAATTAAATAAAGTAAAAAGATTAAGAGCAACATGTGTCCAAACACATCGACCCCGGGGACATAATGCAAGAACCGCGAGCTCCCAAGGGCTGTCCCCAGCGCATCGGGCGTGAACCGTGCGGAGTGCCCTCCCACATGCCCGCAAAGGGCCCTCGGGCCCTGCTCCGGCTACAGGAATCCCATGCGCTGGAGCGTGTCTGCTCGAGAAGCTGCTCCCTGAAGAAAAGGACGATGCTGAAGAACTGAATTCCGAGGGGAAGGGAGCGGTGTCCCACACAGAAACTTCATGGTACTCTTAAGCGACACGCGGGCGAGCCTCTGGGCTGAAGCGACTGGCCCACAGGAACCACTGCGTGTGCGGCCCTGCCCCAGACGCGGGACCTGCGTCCAGTCCGCTCTCCCTGCCATCAGCCACCTGCCGCACAGCCCGCTCACCTTTGGGTTGGGGTAAAGGTCGTTCTTGGAGAGGTTTTTACCGTCAGCCCCGGTTAAGATTTTGTTTCGAACATGAGTCACAATCTCAGCCACGCTGTATCTGGGGAACGACAAGGTCTCCATCTCGGAAGGTCTCCGGCTGGTCTGAGGGAAGAAAACAGATCAGAAACAGGGCGGGACAGCGGCTCTCACTGCCTGGAAGCCGATCGACACAGGGACAATCAGGGGCCGAGGTGACCGGCGTGGGGTCCGCAGTCACCACAGCCGGGAGGGGGACTCAGTCTCACGTAGCCGATCTGCAGCTCCCACAATCATTCTGTTCCAATACCCTCACGCTGCTGTCTTTCGTATGATTGAACAGATGAAAAAAACATACTTTTCTTCTTTAAATTCAGGGGTGGGGTACACGGATTAACAACATGGATCCTGAGAATTAATCCTCAAAGGAGATACGTAGTCGACACTGTCAGCACAATCACTGTACACCCAGTAACGCTGGGCGGAGGACACCACCTCGACCTCCCTGCTCCTGGATGGACAGAGATGCCGGGAAGGGCTGAGTGCAAGCGGGGAGGGAGGGGCCCTGCAGGGGGACCTGCGACCGACAGAAATGCAACCACCACGGTGACGACTAGGAGAAAACAACAGCAAACCACTTCCCCTAATGTCCTCAGATGGTGACCAGAGCCCGGGTCCCCTCAAGCACTGGTTCCCACAGTTGGCCCCCCAGGGGATCTGGCAGCATATGGGGACGTTTCTGGTGTCGGGACGGGTAGGCTGCTCCTGGAACCCAGTGGGTAGAGGCCCCCGTGCTGCTGAACACCCCACAGTGCACAGAATGACTCGGCGATGCCGAGATTAGAAATCCCGCTGGAGCCTGGCACTGACCTGTCACAACCTGCCACCTGTGCTGTGACTGTTGTCCCAACTCGGGTGCTGCACTGCGAGTGCCCAGCCAGCAGGACCTTCCCATTTCCTCCCCCCTCCCAGAGCAGCAGCAGCAACACAGCCACTCGACAGTGGCGCCTGTCTCAGCACCTGCAGACCTGCTCCCCGGGGAGCACATGATCCCAGGGCCAGCTGGGCCCGGCTCCGTACGGCTCCGTATCAGACGGAAATGACCCACAATTCTGGAACTGTTTCCTTAGGCTTCTAAAGTTTGTCAGAACACTGGGATTGAGTGAATCTGATAAGTACGGGGAGCCCTTCTCAGAGACGACTGAGAAATGACCCCCAGTTTGGCTCCACCTGCAAAGAACCCAGAGTTCACTCACTGGGGACGACTGCCCCCTCCTCAGTGCGGTCCAGTAGTTAGGAAACTTCCTCAGACTGCAGAGAAACCTGTGCGCTGTCCCTTAACTGCCAGTCCTGCATTGCCACCCCTGCAGAGAACCTGTGCACCCCTCTCCTGCCCCTGCTCCCCCTCTCCTGTCCCTGCTCCCCCATCCTGTCCCTGCTCCCCCTCTCCTGCCCCTGCTCCCCAATCCTGTCCCTGCTCCCCCTCCTAAGCACAGCCACTCCTTACCCCACACTCTTAGGGACTGGACCATTCTGCTCACTCTCCTGTAAAACTATTCTGTCCGTGTCTTAAAATACAGCTGAAACGGACCCGACCACCACACGTGGCCAGTGTGAGTGCCCCACGCTCTGGTCTCCTCCCCACACCGGCGCACTGCCCGGCCGACAGGTGCCCGGCAGACAGATGCCCCGCAGGCAGGTGCCCCGGCAGACAGGTGCCCCGGCAGGCAGGTGCCCTGGCAGACCGGTGCCCGGCAGACAGGTGCCCCGCAGACAGATGCCCCGCAGGCAGGTGCCCCGGCAGACAGGTGCCCCGGCAGGCAGGTGCCCTGGCAGACCGGTGCCCGGCAGACCGGTGCCCGGCAGACAGGTGCCCGGCAGACAGCCCTGGCTCCTTCCCTGGGCCCCGAGGACGAACCGGTTCATCTGAACCTCAGGCGCCGACCTGTCCTACCACCGACTGTCCCAGCGCTCAGCGTTCTTCCCAGACCCTCTCCACCTCCCACTGTTCGTGTTTCAGCAGAACCGAGTCCATTTTCACCCGGGTCGAGACGCAAACACAGCTGATAAAATGGCTCGGCCGCCCTGGCCTGTTCGGCTCAGCGGTGACCACTGGGTCGGCGGCTGGCCCCAGCCTGTCTGGGTGCGGCTCTGCCCCTCCACGTTTCTGCCCCCCCCGCCCCCCCCCCCCGTTATTCGGGGATAAACAGACAGACACCCTCGGGCAAGGAGACAGAAGCCGCGGCCATGGAACCGCAGAGAAGCACTTTTCTGCAAGAAGCCTGCGGGTGGGAGAGGCTGCGGTCGTGGTCCCGCCCCGCACCCCCGCTGCCAGGCCCCCGCACGCACGCCCAGCAAACACCCCAACACCCCGACACCCCACGCACAGCGCCGCCACGCAACCTTCTGCTCCGAACCCCGCCGCCGGCCCCTCTGGGCCTCGGGCAAAGCCGACGCCGCGGGGAGGACGAGCCCGGGGGCCGCGGGGAGGACGAGCCCGGGGGCCGCGGGGAGGACGAGCCCGGGGGCCGCGGGGAGGACGAGCCCGGGGGCCGCGGGGAGGACGAGCCCGGGGGCCGCGGGGAGGACGAGCCCGGGGGCCGCGGGGAGGACGAGCCCGGGGGCCGCGGTCCCGGCGCCGCTTTCCCCAAACCGAAGGCGCAGGAGGCGCGGGCGGCCCCGCTGTGGTCACTGGCCGGGGGCCCCTCGGGCCGCCTGGCGGACGTCAACCCGGGCACCCGGGCCTTGCGCGTTCGCGACCCCAGGACGCGGGCGACACCGCTGACGTGGGCCTCGCGGGGCGCGGAGAGGGAGGCCCGCGCTCAGCCCCCGGAGCGGCGCCCCCTCGGCGACTCCGGAGCACCTGCGCCCCGCACCTGCGCCCGCACCTGCCGGCAACGCGGCGCGCCCCGCCCCGCCCCGCCCACGCCCACCCGCGCTCACCCCACCCGCGCTCACCCCACCCGCGCTCACCGCCACGGAGCGGACCCGGGAAAAGCCGCGCTCCCTACGCCGACCGTTGTCGCATTTTAAACCAGCCGCCTGCCCCGAAGCCCCGCCCCTTCCGCCCGCTTCCGGTAACGGTCGCGCCGGAAGCCGGTGGGGCTCAAAAGACAGGAGCTGCGCGGGCGGCGCGGGCTCGGGGCGGAACCTTTCTCGCGGAGCGGGTGTCTGGTCGGAGCTGCACTCCGCCGGAAGTGGGATGCGGCGGGCCCGGCGGGGCGGGGTCGGGGGCGGGGCCGTGTCTAGGGGCGGGGTCCTGTCGGGGGCGGGGACGATGGCGCCTCGCGGCCGGACTCCCGGTGCGGAGCTGTTCTCGCCCAGGCGTCGGGCGGCCCTTCCCGGCCTGTCCGCGTCGCTGGGGAGTGAGTGGCGGGCCGGGCCCGACCGTTCTCGCGGGGCCTTGGCGCGGCCGGCGCTGTGACAGCCGTGCTGCGGCGGCGGGGCTGGGAGCGCGGCCTGTGCGCCGGGGGGCGCCGTTCGCTCACACGGCGGGACGAGGCGGGAGGCGCCGAGCGCTGTTCCCGGGACGTTAGATTCCAGGTCACTGGTTTGAGAGCAGGGCTGGAGTCGGGGCTCCGGGAGGGGGGCGCGGGGTCCGACCGCCTGTCGCCGCTGCACCGCTCACCTGTCCCAGCCGCGCCGCTCACCTGTCCCAGCCGCGCCGCTCACCTGCCCCAGCCGCGCCGCTCACCTGCCCCAGCCGCGCCGCTCACCTGCCCCAGCCGCGCCGCTCACCTGCCCGCTCACCTGCCCCAGCCGCGCGGCTCACCTGCCCCAGCCGCGCCGCTCACCTGCCCCAGCCGCGCCGCTCACCTGCCCCAGCCGCGCCGCTCACCTGTCCCAGCCGCGCCGCTCACCTGCCCGCTCACCTGCCCCAGCCGCGCGGCTCACCTGCCCCAGCCGCGCGGCTCACCTGCCCCAGCCGCGCGGCTCACCTGCCCCAGCCGCGCTGCTCACCTGTCCCAGCCACGCTGCTCACCTGTCCCAGCCACGCTGCTCACCTGTCCCAGCCGCACGGCTCACCTGTCCCAGCCGCACGGCTCACCTGTCCCAGCCGCGCTGCTCACCTGTCCCAGCTGCACTGCTCGTCCGCGCTCTGGGCCAGGGAGGCAAGCATCACACAGCGTCTCTGTGAAGGACTCCCAGGAATCTTGAGTTAGAAACCACAAAATGCATGTCCTCGCTAAACTAATTTGGGATGAGCTGTGACCAGCTCCAAGGAAGCAAAACTTGGGTATTAGACTCCAACCCTGCTAGTATCCCCTCCCCAAACTTCCACATCTAGTTACATGATTTTAACATAACCAGCAGAGTGAGTCTTGGGAGTTAACCCTAATAAGTTGGATAGTGATAAAATATTCATATATTTGTCCAGTTGACATTTTTAAAATACAATTTGTGTGCTCTGGGTATTTCAACACTGTGGTGTTTCCAGTTATCCCAAGGGCGTTAATGAGATTCTCAGGAAAATATTAGTATTAGTGCACATGAATGTTAAAATTAGTCATTTATCACATAAGTCTGGGGGGGGTTAAAACAGAACTAGTGACGACTGTCACAAGTCAGAGAACTCGGGGAACAAGCTGCTCTAGGTAGTGGTTTCTGTTACAGTAGGTAAGTCCAATGAGAACCGTAGAAGGAAATCCTAAGTTCTCACCTTTTCATGCCTCTGAATCCTGTTTTCTCTCAAAAAGGAGATGAGCGTTTTCTCAAAACATTGCTACGTAAGTACCAAGTAACATTACCTAACTTAATCCTTAGCGTTTTTGTATTTTTTTAAAAACCTGTCCATTTTCATTCCCCATTTTTTTAAAGCAGACCCAACCTAGTGAACAGGTTGACCATATAAATTCAAAATTGGTCCCTGAATATTGTTCCTGGCATAACCCATTACGATGAGATTTCTATACTGTTTGCATATGGTGCTTAATAATAACAAGGAAAGCTCCCACACACAGAGTCCTCTCCATGGAACACTGCATTTGAATCTCATAGCAAGCCCAGCCGGTGTGGCTCCGTGGTTGAACATCGACCCTGCACCAAGAGGTCGTCGGTTTGATTCCCAGTCAGGGCACATGCCCAGGTTGTGGGCCAGTTCCCAGTGGGGAGCGTGCAGGAAGTAGCCAATCGATGTTCTCTCTCATCGATGTTTCTCTGTCTCTCCCTCTCCCTCTCTACAAATAAGGGAAAAAATATTTCATTCTCACAGCAAAATATAGTCTCCGTTCCCATTTTTCAGATGATAAATTTAAGTTTTCCTTAAGAAAACTGAGACAATGCTTATAGTCAGGTATAAGGAAACCAAGAGACCAAAATGTGAGCCCCAGTAAACAGGGTAGAAGCTCTGTTAGCTGCTCACTGCACTGCCTGGGCTTGAGCCCGAACAGCAGCGTCAGGTCCCTGCTTTTCATATAAGAACCACGGTTGCGCCCCTGGGTCCTCCCAGCGAGGATCGTCCCTAGATGCCTCCTGGCCTCTACCAGCTCCCCACCATGCACACACGATACCTGTGAGAAGAGACCCGTGGAGGTTAAGCAGATCCTCTGGGTGGGCTTTAGCTATTCGATCTTTGAACTAACTCCTGAGCTCCTCTGTGCTGTTCCTTGGGTCCCCCTGGGCGTGTGGGTGGGCTGGCAGTCTCCAGGGCATTCTGGGCCTGCAGGGATGCCCTGCGTAGGCACCCTCTCCTCTCACCTAACCCTCTTTCTCCACAATGGCAGCTTCCAGGATCTCTCCCGGACCCAACTTCCCTGGGACCCAGGATCACTCACTGCAGAGAGAAAGACTCAAGTCCTGGGCTCTCTGTGTTTCTTTCTTTGTCTTGGGAAGTTTCACAGCCTTAGCTGCTCATTGACCTGGCTCCTCGGAAGGTTTTTCCTGTTAACTGAGACGGGACACGTTCACCACGTTTCCTCCCTCTGAGCATCGATTTTCCTAAGAAAGCGACCGTTTGCTCTACATGGAAAACAAACGGTCATAGCGACGTCATTGTGATCTTAGTTCTTAGGAACAAACCACAGCATGTCGGGCTACGAGATCATTCCTGCCCTGAGTGGCAATGAACTCTTCATCTGAAAACCACTGATGGGGTGGTGAGGGTACTTCATCTCACGCCTGTTACGTTTCCACTTTGAGCTCAGAGACAGGAAGCAAAGTGTCGGCAGGTTGGTTCCTTCTGAGGCTGTGAATCTGTCCCCGGCCTCTCCCCGGCTTCAGGGGGTTGCTGGTGGTCTGTGGGTCCCTGTCTCTGCTCCACCTCCATGTGGCTTCTCCCTGTGTATCTGTCCAGATCCCCAACCCACAAGGGCAGCAGTCCCAGTGGGTGAGGGCCGCCCCAAGGTCCCCATAAAGACCGTATTTGCACATGAGGTCACAGTCTGATGTTTTGGGGTGAGGACTTCATGGACCAGAAGCCTTGTGAGCAGGGTCCTGTGAACAGCCAGAGGGCCGCACAGGGCCCCACCCCTGGGTCTAAGTGGCCCTGATTCCCTTACGTTTCTATTACTGATGCCCTCTGAGTGCAGCCTGGTCAGTACGTGTGGTTCATCTTACTCTCCTTAGAAACGGAACCCCGCATGGCAGGCGTGGATGGCTGCCACGGGGCCAAGCTGAACTGTGTCACTGGGTCGCGGAGAAAAGGCAGGGTCCGCTCAGAGCACCGAGGACGGGCCTCACTACGGACTCTGGCAGAGTCTGCCGACCACTGCCAAGCAAAACCCGCCTTGGAGACGCACCTCACCACTGGCTGAGACGAAAGGAGACAGCATTGCCTTGGTCGTTACATTGTCTCCAGGGGACTGTTCGTGGGAACACGCCTGTTCCCCTGACACAGCTGGGAACGCCCTCGCTCACCTGCTCCTGGTGCTCGGCGCCCGCGTGCGGAGCCGCCCCTTGTTCCTTTCTCCGCTCTGCCCACTTCTGTGAGAAGGCGGCCTGCTTGAGGAGGAACGTTGCCTAGCAAACAGCAGTGTGATCAAGAGAAAGACATTTTTTTGTCTCACAGAAAGATTCAAGGTCTTCGGATGCACCGAAGGGTCACGAGCTCGATTCCCGGTCGAGGCACATACCCAGGTTGCAGATTTGAGCCCGGTCGGGGTGCATGCGGGGGGCGACCAGTGAATGTCTCCCCTCCTCCCCTCTCTGGAATCAGTGAGCAGCACATCCCCTTGGCGAGGGTTCAGGGAAGGACAGACCGCGAAGGTGAAGGAGCGGCTGCTGGGAACAGTGTGTGGCCGACTTGGAGGGTTTGGCAGTTACTCGAACAAGTTAAACCCGTTCTCCCTGTGGCCCGGCCGCCTCACTGGCTCGTAGGGAAGGGTCCGCAGAGTGTCCCCGGTACCAGGGCTGGGACCCACCAGGTGTCTGTCCAGCAGAGCAACCAGGGAGGGGTGTCCACACGGGGAGACCACGCAGCCCTCAGGGGAGACAAGCCAGGGGCACAGGCTGTGGGGTGGGTTCCCCAGCACCTGAGTGCAAGAAGCCACATACACAGACTTGCCTGTGGCTCCATTTCTGTAAATGGCCAGAAAAAGCCAGCTCACAGGGATGGGATGCAGGCTTGTTGGGGGCCGGCGGGGCAGTGACCAAGTTCAAAAGCTCGTTCCGTGGGGACGGCTGCGAAGCTCGATACGCTCCCTCAGGGTGGTTGAAGTGTGTGCTCATGGCGGGAGTTTTATAGTAGCCAAATTTTACTTCAATAAAGCTATTTTTTTTTATTAATTTGTTTTTGTTACAGATGTTTCTCCTTTTTCCCCCATTGACACCCTCCTCCCCATTCCCCCACCCCATCCCCAGCTTTGTTGTCCATGTCCATTGGTCACGCATACATGCATGTAAGTTCTGTGGTTTTTCTCCCCCCCCCTCAATCCCCCCTCCTCTGAGGCTTGTCAGTCCTCAAAGGATAAGAGATCTCTCTTTTTTAAAGCTGCATAGTACTCCACTGTGTGTATGTACCACAGCTTTCTTATCCACTCATCTACTGATGGACACTTGGGCTGTTTCCAGATCTTAGCTATTGTGAATAGTGCTGCTATGAACATGGGGGTATATGTATTCT